CCCCAAAACCCCAAAACCCCAAAACCCCTTTTTGTAAGTTTTTAATAGGTTTAAAATGGACCAGGATCCGAAGATTAAGAGCGATTTTATCACTCAAAGTGTGATCACAGCAGCTCTTGTGCTGATACCTTTGTTGTTTTGTTACTGTAGCATCTGGACTTTGGTGTTCTACATTGGAGCGATCAGACTGATCATAAATATTAAATATTTCATTGATACTATAAAAGAATACTACTTAATGAAGCCACTTGATCATTCAGAAAGGTATGGCAAAGGTTCTTATGCTCTTATCACTGGAGGAGCGAATGGGATCGGCCGTGCTTATGCAGACCATCTATCAAAATTAGGATTCAGTCTTATTCTCATTGATAAGGATGCTGAAGGACTTGAAAAAGCCAAAAAGGATATTTCTAAAGAAGGCATCGATGTCCAAATCATTCCAGTAAACTTTACAGAAGTCAGAACTGAGGAAGCCTTAACAAACCTAATCGCAAGAGTTGCTGATAAAGATATCTCAATTTTAGTGAATAATGCAGGGCTTGCTTCAAGTCGTGAATTTGAAAAATCAACAGCAAGGATAGTGAGTGAAGTTCTTTCCCTCCATGTCTCTTGCACTGCTGGTTTTTCAACGATGCTATATAAGCGATTTATTAAGAGGAGCAAAGAGACAGGAAAGAAATGTGCTATAATAAATATGGCTAGCATGCTTTCATTCCACCCAATGTATCAGTCTATTGTCTATTCAATGACAAAAGGGTTCATCAGATTCTTCACTCTCGGTCTTGGATCAGAGGCTGAGAAAAATCTCGACATCTTCCTTGTCAGTCCAGGATTTGTCTCAACCTACATGTGAGATTTTAGAAAAGAAGCAGACACAATTTCTCCAGAAACTTGTGTTTCAAACGCTGTGAGAGCGTTAGGACAGCTTGAACAAACCGAAACATCGATGATGTGCAGATTTTTATCTAGATATCTTTTCGAGAGCATCTGGTACCTCAGCGACGAAATAACCAGAGCTGTAAAACTAATCCCTAACCTATAGATCTTCAACAAGTACTTCTACTTAGAGGAAAATCAGAAGATGGTGAAGAAGATGAGACAGAGGGAGATAGACAACTATGGTGAAGATTAGTTCTAACTTACTTCTCAATATCCACTGAAATCTTGGCTATTTGGCACTCATTTTTCTACTCAATACAGATTGAAGATTTGGGGTTTTGGGGTTTTGGGGTTTTGGGGTTTTGGGG